AATACAAATCGTGTCTATATAATTACTATAATATGCATGTCTAAAAATTAAAAAATTGTATGCGACAGTGTTTACCGCGTTATCTTGTTATTATTTATTTTAATTTGTCATTGCAGTTTCGATACGTGTAATATTATATCCTATATGATATGTAAATGAGATCACTGCTGTTGTAGAACATTAACGCGCCTTCTCATATAGACAATTAAAACGAGTTAAAATGGTGATAAATAATAATCGATGGTAAAAACAACTGGCATATACTTCACTATCGGGTTTAATTGTTATTGAAATTGTTTAAAACACCGTTTGTATGCATATGTATACCTATGTGTTCTACGCCCATGAACGATGTACACTATCTACAGTTCGTTTCGAGAAAAACGTAAACGATTTACAGAAAATAAATTCTAAACGCAAGCAAACAATAGAATTAAACGCATTATAAATATATATATATATATATATATATATAGATTGCCCCGAGAAAGGAAATACGAGGTTATCGACTCCTTATATATTAGTATATCAACGACAAGTCATCGACTGTAAATGCTAATGCCTCAGTGACAAAATGATAAACCGCTGACGTCGTCAACGACGTTATACAGCATAGTTGGTGTAGTATTTTTTTTTTTTTTTTTTTTTTTATCTAATCAAATCCAAAAACCTCGACATTCTAATTTTCAAAAATGTCAGTTAAGCGATATTTTAGCGTACAAATAAATTCAGATAATACATTCTAATATTTAGCAAAAAATACAATTCATTTAGTTAATATAGTTAAAACATCGATTTATCGTAAAAATCAACCATTGCAGTGAACAACGTATTGAATCGAACCAAATTATATATGTAATGTGGGCGGGGCGGGTATTATGGTAGATTCATATTATATTATTTATTATCAGCGTTGGACAGTGTTTAAGCACATAATGATTTAATATTATTCTATTCACGTTCCACATGTACATCATTGTAATACAATTTACAATTGACAGTTACTACCCACTGGTCAGAACTCGAAGATATATTTGGTTGTTACGCTATAATATATTTGTTTTGATAATTAAATGCTTTATTAGGCATAATTAAAAAAGACACAAACACTATACGGGATTGATACTGAAATAATATTGGTTCAAATTAGATGACTTAAACTTCATTAAAAGTGATCAGCGGACTTAAAGTAGAAAACAATGATAATAATGTCCTGAATTATTTGAATATAAGCGTTGCGGAAAATCTAAAAATGCCATATCTAAATAGTTAAATTTAATTGAACATAAAGAAATCCAACCCTTCGCCTATGTCATAACTCAGTTTATGTAGTGGTATTTTAAATGAAAAAAAAAATCGTTGAATTGTAATCATGCAATACTTAATGCAAACATTAATAATTCTCAAGGATAAATAATATAAATAACTTTTCATGGCTTTAGAAGATTTTCCTGTATAAATATTAAATAATTGTTACAAGTTGAATATTTTCAATTTATTTTCTTTACAGCTTTCAAGCTCACCCACCCATCCTATTTGAGGAACTACAGCATTTAATATATTTTTAATTATTGCGAAACGATTAAATACTCACTTACGTATTACGTATTAGTTATTACTTATTACATAGATCGTTATTACTTTAGAATTCACACAAGGTCGTCCCTATATGTATTAATATTATTAATGTGACTATACCATTGTGCTATGTTATATGATATAATGATGATAATAATAATATATTCGTTTAACAAGCGCCTATTATGGTCGGAATGCATATCGCATTGCCTGCAGTTAGTGTTTTTTAAGAAAAGGGAGAATAAAACCTCAAATAATTTAGCTCATCATCCTTCAAAGGACTATCAAATGTACCGTATCTGATTTAGACGTTGAGGGTAAACGACGAGACCACTGGGACTTACATACTAATGGTATATTATTGTATAGATGCGATAGAGCCCCTGTATATGTATACTATAAATGTTGAAAATCCTTTTGTAATATTATAATTCGTTCTATATGATATGTACTTTTTATGCCTTATACATCATACCTTTGTATAATGTGCATATAATATACAAATCGGATATATTGAAATTTTCACGTAATATTTAAACATTAAGCGATGTATAGTTTAATGTAATATATTATTAAAATAAAGGCGCCGTGTAGTGGCACATCGTAAAATTGCAATTAAATATTTTTATACTTATATATTTGAAATTGTAATCAATGTTGTTCTCTTGATAATATCATCTCATTTAACGTTATATTCAATATTACGGGTTACAGAGCAATCGCTCTTCGGCTGACGGCCCGTGATAAAAATGTAATGTTTTATTTTTTATATCTATGATAAATTTGGTTTATACTCATAGTAGATAATTATATAATAATAAATAATCAGCAATTAAATAAAAACCACACGATCACACCAACGGAATTGTATTTATACTTTATTTACCTCAACAGCTCAACAAATCATTCGACCTTTTATCGACAATAAAAATTGTGTGCTGGTATACCGTTAGAAATATTTAAATCTGCTATGTGTTATAAATTATAATAATCATTATTTGTAATTATTGTGCAACAGGATAAAACACGAAACACGTATTATTGTTCAATATTCAGTTTTCCTTATATATATTATGTAATATTATAATATGTATTATGTTATATTAAAACCGTCCGATCGCACACCGCAGCTAAAATATCAATAATTGATACACTCCTTAAGTGTACTAGTGATTATTTATTTTTTTCAACGTTTGAATTTTTGACGAAACGATTTAATTGGAGTCTATGAGTTTTTAATTATGCATGTAAAACATTTACTGATCGTACCGGAAACTTAACAACTGTACGACGACAACAACAACAACAATGATATTAATAATAATACAACGCCCGTAACGCTACATCAAACAGCAACAGCAGCAGATAATGCACAACTAATAATATTCAAACAATTATTTATGATCACGTATCCCGAGAACTCGCGTCGACTTCCTCTGAAAAACTAGATTTATTCAATTATTAATAATAATAATCATTGTCGTCATCGTTTTTTGTTATTAAATATTATTGAACGTCATCGAACTGTGTGTGCGGAACTGTTCACGAGTATTTTGTGCGCAAATACAATCTCGTACACGAGAAGACTCGCCGTATAACGTATATACGTTACACGGACGTACTGCTCGCAGTTTCCCGGAGAACAATAAACATGTATAATTTACAAAGCACTCGGAAACTTTCTCCGTGTCGCATAATACAATGCGTGCATTGCAGTTATTGTATTATTATTATTATTATTAGTAGTAGTAGTAGTATTAATATTATTATTGTATACGTTTGAAACGTATCAGCGGTTGTTCGCCAATTATTGTTACCACACGCGATACAGATTAATTTATTTCGGAGGAAACGTCGTAAATCACCGTGTCCTCTGCCTGCTTGCCACAGCGTTGTTGTGCTCGGATCGCACCGGTGCATATTCCGTACGCGAATAAAATATTAGTATAATATCGTACGACTCGAATAGCGTCCGGCAATTCCGACTCGCATCCGCGTCGTCAAAATGTCCTAATTTTAGGCGTTCGTACTGTGTTGTATTGCGGTACGCGACGGCGACGACGGTTATTGTCGTTGTCCGCGCGCCGCCGTCGCGTCCTGCTCGAATCGCCGAGATTTGTTTTGTTTCACGAAAATCGTCTAAAACACGTGCACGAAACGAACATCACAGTATGTTTGTATAATATTATATATTATATATTTATTTATCATACATATATACATTATTATATTGTGCAAACAAACTGACGGTATCAACAACACACGACGTGTTATAACTTGTAACCATTCCTATACCGATGGTACCCGCCGATTACCTACTTACGTCTGCGCACCCGTAAACAGGAAATATTTTTGACAACATTCAACTGTATATTTTCAATTTTTATTACATGATATTATTTATATTGACGACATATCGTACAGGGTAAATATTGGCTTGACCGTATTGAACTCATTTGAATCTTTTGGGCAACGGGCGTAGAACCGAGTATCGTTATTTATTTATTTCTATTTTTTTTTTTCGTAGATATGTCAAAAGTACGAGTTAAAAAAAAAAGGGGGGGAAATCCCCATATTTGCTTATTTATACTTATTCTATTAATTATTCATTAGCAAAGAATATAATAAAACATGACACAATTATTTAGTTCGCAAGTTTGAAATACGACACAGGAAACTTTAGGATTGTCCGTCCTTTTAAATAGCCCGTTGTGATGGACTATACAATATCGTTATACATCCCCTTAAATTTTCCCCTCGTAGTATATTTGGAAAATGTGAGCGTAACCTATTTAAACATATTTTAAATGTTAAAATAACAACTCCAGGTAAACCATGTAATAGTCTGATTACATATAAACATACTAGGTCAAATTTTATACAATTCAAACCGTATAAATATATTATGTACGTTTTATATTATTCCTGTGTGGTTATGTTATATTTACCACCAAAGGTTTAATCGCTGCGTATTAGTATTGGCCGAAAACGTTCACGTCCATAAGACTTCGAATCCCTTTCTTTTTTCCACGATAGCTTTTATATTGTTTGAACACATTGTGAAACTTACTGTTTATATTATATAACGCGCTAGCACAAAAAGGTGCGGTTTAACAGTATACATATATAATATATATGTATCAGTGTGTGTAAGTTATATTTCTCTTAAAAATGTGTTTCATTTCTCAAAAAAAGTTTAAAATAAATATAGACGAATAATGTGAAAAAGGTCACATTTAAACCTTTTTGACGATCAATATACTTGTACATATTATTACTTTATATAATAATATTATATTATTATTATTGTTTTAGTATTACTACATAAACGAATACTATGTTTTTTTATTAACTATTTACATAATTTATTATCATTTTATGAGTGCATGATAAAATAGACTAATTAGAATGTTTTATTTCAGGTTTCATTAATTCGAACACTCTACACTCTCTAGCTCACCTACACGGTAAGTGCATTTTTTTTAGAAATATAACTACGAAATTGAGTATACTCATATAGTTTGTCGGATAAACGATTTTTAACGGTTTCACTTTTTCTCCGGTTTATTTATGATGTAGTTTAGTGTATACATATGTATACACGCACATCATCAACACAAATCATAGGCTTTATAGCAAATAGTTATCCAGTTGTAAATCATGTTGTTTTTTGACAAGGTCTCAATTATTACGTGTTAACGATACAAAATGAACTTCTCTGCCGTCAGTCAAATACAATTATAATTGACGTATATTGTCTCTTCTGAAAATCCTTATACAAGTTAAATGAATATTGTTCTCTTATATTCTCTTATAATAAAGTAATTCATATATATATATATATATATATATATATACGCCATCTCCTCGAGTTTCGTTCTACACATTTTTCTCCCTCGTTTTTTTTTCATATGCGTCAATTAATGATTTATTTAAATTATTTTTATTCTTCGTCTTGTAAATGTATTATTATACACCGAAGGCCACATCGATATGACGAAATATTAATAAACTGTTTTTGACTGACAGACAAGTTCCATAATGAAGTTTGAGATTTTTCTTCTTTTTTTTTTACTTGGTGAATATTTTAATTTGTTTTAATATGTGGCAAAATATTTTAATTAAACACTTGCGAGATTGAGAGATTTAATTAAATCAAATTAGAAACACATTCATGTATTGTTTAAATAATGTGTTTTTAATTGATCATCGGTAAAAATAATTTAGTATTATTTCAATATCACCCTACTTTCATTATCATTTATAATACATACATAAATACATAATTATGATTAACACTTTGTGTTGGCTAAATCGTTAGAACCTATCGATAAAAATTATCGCAATAAGATATTCATTATAATTTTACCTACTTATATGTATATATATTACTTATACTTTATGATAAGTACTTGAAATTATAATTTAAAAATTATTAACCATAGGTACTTTTTTTTTTTTTAACTATTTAATCGTATAATAGCATTGATATTTAGTGTACTGAATTCTCTATGAATGAATATAATTATATAAACATGTATGTTTAAGTTATTCATATTATTATATTATAGTTAAATAATATAAATTATCTATCCAATAGTCACTTCGTCGTTGACTGTATTGCATACTCATCTTATCAGTTTTTGAAATATATAAATACTTATATGCTATTAAGGTCATAACAACTTATTTTTTCATTGGAATTACAGTATAAAAAGTAGCTCAAAGCTTAGTTTTATATATGTACATCTATACATGTTATTTAACAAAAAAAAAAAAAATAAATAAAAATAATGATAAAAAAATATTCTGTGTATACTGTAAATGCTTTTTATATTTTTCTTTATGCATATTGTATAATAACTTGTATTTTACCGAATTGGAAATTTGTGACAAGCATGACATTTTTTTTCACATCTAAAACGACCGTGAAAATCTGCTTACGTTAAGAAAACCTTTATCCGTTGCAAAACGTACCTATTATGTAGGCTTGTCAAGCACTCCTCCAATATATCTAAATACCTTATGCATACTTAGGTGAAAAAATCTTTACCAAAAGGATTTTCGTTATTTTTGACGTAAAAAACAACGTGATTCTAAACTGGAATTTACATTTTGCAGTTATTAATTTTAACTAAGTAAAGTTAAATGATATTTAAAATGTAATCATATATAATCTTTTACAACGAAAAATAAATGTACACAGTAATAATAATTAAAAACAGTATTATTATTTGTATATTACTGTAATTAAATTAACAGAATATAAATTAAATATAATGGAAAATGTATACACCTTTTTATATTTATTTTTTTTAAATTTTGTTGTTAACTTTTAAAGAGTTTAATTATTATTTAATAATTATCTTAAAAGTGAGCTTTATTCTTACATTCACTATAATTTTAGAAATATTTTATAATGCTTATGTCTGTAATGGTAATTGTACTTGAAATGTTAATTTTTCTTTTTTTTATAACTAAATAACTTTATTTAGGTACCTTACGATTAATCATTCTCATTCTGACTGTTTATTTAAGATTTTGAGCATAGCGACGAATATATTAATTTTTAAAGATGTAATGATGATGTGTGCGTAGTTTTTTGTTTGAGTACACGATAAATTATTGATTAAATGATTTTGAGAATAGTTTTGGATAGCCAATTGTATCTAATTTATATTTTAGAAAAGTTAAAATTAAAAATACGTATTATTTTTTTAAAACAAACAAAAGAAAAGAAAAATAGGAATTTAACTTTTACGTTTAACCAGATGTTACAAAATTTATTTATTTATTTTGTTATAATTTAAAAACAAACACAACAATTTTAAATTATTATCATTTATTATTAATACCATTTTACATGATAAGTATATGGTAAAATGTATAGAATATTTTGAATTTTTTTCGATAATCTGTTAATAAAAAATTATTTGATGGGTAATAATTCTTAAAATGTTAGTACAAGATCTAACATAAGTTATTCTTATACCTGTATAAAAATATTAAATATACATAGACTTACATTTTTAACTATTATAATAAATTAATAACTATGTATTCAGATCTAACTTTATTTTTATATAAAAAAATTCTAACTTATACTATTCAACAAATCTTAGTTCGCAGACATGGATAGTTCTAAAATGTAATAAGTAATATATTATGCATTTGATTATCGTCCGACAACAGATTTGTTTAAATGTATTTCCACAGATCGACCATACCAAGTCGCAGCACGCACGCGACTTTTTAAATCAATCTCTTTTTGACCCATCGCAACCCGTCTCTTGGTCGACAACACTTTTGTGCATATAAACTCGTACATATACATATATACGTATGTGTGTGTATGCCAAAAAGACGAATAAATCTGGGAAAACGTCGCCTGCCATGCATTATTCATTTTTTCCCTTCCCCATCGCACTCAACTACGGCAATCCCTCTTCATACCCATCGTCGAATCCTTGTGAACGCAACTTCGATTTTCTAACCGTACCTGCACTGCTGCTGCAACTGTTCGTTACCAGTCTTAAATAATATTTCTAATTTACGTCGTTAAAAAAGAATACAAGAAATTATATTATTATTCTGTTTAAACGTTAGGCTTTGATAATAAACGTACTGACACGTCACTGTAACTCCGTCACCCACCTCTTCCCTAGCATTTTATTTAATGTGTATGCCATTATTTTATTTATAACGATTGCCGTTTCACAGCCGTTTAGTTACGGTCAAAGTGGTTAATCAACCGTCGTGAATGAATTGATTATACGGCGGGGTTTTAACAGCCGTGCTTATCCATGTTCAAATATAAATTTATACAATAATGTTATATTATATTTCCATGCGATATACAACAGCAATGTGCTATGCGTTTTACATGGGCTGCCGTGACATAATGTAAATATATTTTATTGTAAATTACACTGTGTGAGAAATGTCGTACAATGATGACATCGAAAACAATGAATATATAGTGTTACCACGAGTACCCGTTGTAATTAGAATCCGTAATCGGAAATCATAATACATTATAATATTATGCCGTAACTATTAATAATATAATATCATAATATAAAGTAGCTATAGCTGCCCTACGTATGACCCATCGTCTGCGTCCCGCTGACCCCTTTAGACTCCGTGGAACTGTTGTCGTCGTGTGTAAATAATATATTACTATAATAATAAATTATATTCCATGCAGTGTTTTGTATGATCAATTTTTGTCATTCGTCTAATTAACATTGATAAACATCACTGTAATGATATCCCTAATACGAGTATTTATACACAACTCAGAGAAGCAACACTTCCTGTCCCGCGTATACGTTTAATTTCCGTTTGTCATGAGACTATTTAAAAAAAAAAAAAAATGTTTAGTGATAAACGTATACTAAAAACAGTTTCAATTAACATAAAGTGCGTTTTTTTATTTTGTATTGGGGATTTGTTTTAAAAAAGTAAAAAAAAAAATTGTCCTGTGAAACCTTTTTTAGATTACAATATTTCAAAGAAAATGCGTTTACTATTATACATTCTTCGTCGTGAATTAACTACACAGGTACCGTCTATATTTTATTCAACTGTTTTGTTACTTACACATTTTAATTAGATTTAATTAAAAATGTATACGATATATAGCTATTATTACAAAGTACACTGTTATGTAAGATGATAGTTATAATGTCATGAAAATTATTGTGCTATCAATATTAATATGTATATATTAAAATTGCATAATACTTATATTTGTTGTATATTTTATGTAAAACAATTATTAAGGAATAATGAATAAAATCCTTATTAGTACATAAAGTTTAATAAATTTAAATTATCGACTTAAAAATTGTATATAAACACGAATGGTTCTAATAAAAATTTAGTTTGCATTGTTTGTTTGTATTGAACTTGATTTAATTTTTGAAATTAAAACAATACATTTGTATAGAATTTAATCATCTTTTTTTCCATATAGTGCAAAGTGTATTATTTCTGTTTTAAAAATTCTCTTGAAATGATGTGCGGGTATTGATAAATTAAAATGTAATTAAATATGTTTCTACGTAGTGTACTGATTAAAATTGAATAGCATTAAACAACTCTGTCTGGAATTGAGTCTGTATTATTCGAATGATTATTTTCATAATGTTTCATTATAATTTATGTGTAGGTACATATTGTTATATCTAAAACAACATTTAAAAAAAAAAATGTGTCAATTATTGTATTTAGAGGGCTCTGACCTCTACTATACGGTGTCCACATTATCATTACGTTATACCACTGTGAATAATTTTAATTAAGGTAATCGCATTGGGAAACAATAATAAATATGTGCAGGCGATGCGACGGTGACAAATGGCGACTCCACGGGTATACGTTTCAATGCGTTCTAGATACGACCCGCACGCGGGTAGGGTGTGTGCACTGTGCATCTGCTAAAGGTCCAATCTAGGACGGCATTTCAGTATCTCAGTATCTCACATTATATTAAAATAATAATAAAAGAGTCATAGACAAATTAATTGTTAATACGTTTTATTGTCACTCGGAGTAAGAGTATAATATAAAATAGTTTAAAATATAGTGGTTTTTAAGTAGGTATTCTTTTTTCTGCAAACTTGGTCATTATAATCATTAACTTTATACTTATATTAATTGAGTGTTTATCATAATCTTACACTTTGAGACTTGAGTACACATGAATGATTCTTTTTAACTTTCTAATTATAATAATATTTTTATACGTTAAAAAGTCTTTCTAAATTATTATAATTACTACTCAAATTATCGCAATGAGACTAATAAATCACAAAAATAAAATAAAACAATATAAAATAGTGAAATAATGCTAACAATATTATGCAAGTTTACTTAGTATGTACGCGTATAATATAATAAACTATTTTGGTCTATGTGTGAGTATGGTTTGATGTATATGGCTAATATATGGTATATAGTGAATTCCAAAGGTGAAAAACAGCTAATGCAATTCAAAGCGTATATTATAATTTAAAAAACAAAAAAAAGAACACACCTACTTATAATATTGTTGTGTGAATGTTGTTGTTTGGTCGATGTCAACATGTACCGTGGTGTATATATGTATGCATATCATAATACGTAGGTATATAATGTATAATGTATTAATATATTATCATGACGGAATTCCAATATATATTTTGAAGCTATAGTGTTTACCGGCGGCTGTAACTGCCCGAGGGCACCATAAATTTTTGTCCGAACGACGTGTATCGCGTGATGGTCGGGTGACTAGGCGGGGTCGAGCTTCGAAGTTGGCGGACGATAAAGTCACAATGATTCGCAGTTAAACTGCGCGACTACTGAGGAATAAGCAGGGTGCGCGCAGCTTTTCGACCGATTTACGAGATTATTACGCTAAACAACGGTGTTTATACTTTAACATAATAATGTGCATGTATATATATATATACACGTTTGTATTACTATAATGCATAGCAGCCGTCTCTAAACGGCTGCAGTATTTCGGAAGCCGATACGAAAACGAAAGCGCATAGAGACAGAGGGAGACAATTTGTGATATTATAATATTATGTTTATAATCCAAGTGTCGTATACTCTCTGACGTTTTAGACTGTAGTGATAAAATGTATAAAAAAAGTTCCCTTACACCGTCGCTCTACACCTGTGTAATTTTATCGCGTTTAAAATAGTATCATATATGTATTATAATCACTGCAGTGTAATATAATATGGCCTTGGCCTCTACTGACTAAAAAACGTTATAACCAAATTTGTTTTTAAACACAATTTAAAGACTATGATATTCTATTGTGGACAATGCTTGAATGATTTAACATTACATTTTTTTTCTAATAATTAACATGAAATTAAAATGTTATTTATATGCTTTATTGTGCAGTGGAATATTGAAAATGTGTTATGATCTTAATCGCTAAATTGTAACTATATGTATAATTAACTTCGATTTGTTCAAGCTAGTAGTATTGAGAGTAAATTGGTATATTAAAAATTAAAAAAAAAAAACAAATTATTTGGATTAGAAGTTAATATATAGTTTATATGTTTTGAATTGTCAACATTTTTCTTTGCGTTATATTTCATATTATGATTTCTGACTAAAATAAATTCTTGTAGGCTTTTATCAGAGAAAGGCTCAGATGCAGACGAACTTTTCATTTTTTTTTCTTAAATCCAACAATATTATAAATGTATTTATTTATTATAGTATTGTTATAAGAATAGTGGATTTTTAATCTTTAGTATACAATTTTCAGAATAATTTATAATTTAATTATTCGAAAGAAGTATAATATTGCAGCCAAAATTATTTAATAAGTAAATAAATAAATAAAAAAAAAAAAAAAAAAATTGTATTGATTTATCAATGTGTTACGTAGAATCAATACGTGTTGAGCATATTTTATTTTATTATGTAATTTAAAATATTGTACTTAAGTTTTATGCAGAAAAACAACACTTTTTGTTCTGAATTTATTAATTAATCAGCTATTTATTGAACCGCATGATTACTTAATTATTCAAAAATCAAAGCGTTTACTTTAAGTTTATTTTAGTCAATAATATACATTTATGCACGAAAAATAATTTTAAAAATTGCGATATAAATTTAAAAAAAATACACTAGTAAACTTTTAAATAATTTAAAATCTCTTTCTTCTTTTTAATCTTTAACTTTTTTTTCATAA